ATATCTTGTCTGCCATCTTTGCTACAAACTCGGGTTTTCAACTCGGGCTTTCAATTAATAACCCGAGTTGTAGACCCGAGTGTGTCACAGCGATGTCAGACAAGATATGAATGTTTTTTTGGGCTCAAATGAAAGAGCGGATCGAGAAATGGCGTGCTAGGGCCTCTAAATATGCTTTTGAACCAGGGGAGACCCCTAGACCCCACTGGACAATGTTGTCACAATTGCGCTTTTCAATTGAAAACAGACATCATCTTTAGAGACATTTGGCATCTTTAAAGACTTCTGCACGCCATTTTTCGAGCCGCTCTTTCATTTGAGCCAAAAAAAACATTCATATCTTGTCTGACAGCTTTGCTACAAACTCGGGTTTTCAACTCGGGCTTTTAATTGAAGGCCCGAGTTGTAGACCCGAGTTTGTAGCAGCGATGTCAGACAAGATATGAATGTTTTTTTGGGCTCAAATGAAAGAGCGGATCGAGAAATGGCGTGCTAGGGCCTCTAAAGATGGTTTTGAACCAGGGGAGACTCCTAGACCCCACTGGACAATGTTGTCACAATTGCGCTTTTCAATTGAAAACAGACATCATCTTTAGAGACATTTGTCATCTTTAAAGACTTCTGTACGCCATTTTTCGAGCCGCTCTTTCATTTGGGCCAAAAAAAAACATTCATATCTTGTCTCACATTTCTGTTACAAACTCTGGTTATCAACTCTGGTTTTCAGTTGAAATTGGAATTGTTAATTTACGCAATAATAGGATTGCATTGACGATTTTTTCTCAACTCGCAAAAATCTTCAAACAATTTGCTATCGATTGGTCATAAATTTTTTTAGAAATAATGAAATAGAGGGGATAACGGCTTTTTTTTCAGAGGTGATTTTTCAAAAATTTATTTTAAAAAAAGTACTAACTAGCAAATGTTTTTTATTAGCTCGCAATTTTCTTCAAAACTACTTCAATGAGGAAAAAAATAAAAATTTGGAATATCTATACATGAGGGGCTAATTGATCGGATCTCAATGGATGTCCTCCAGAGAACTGCGTACTCAACACAACGCAAAATCTTCCCCCTAGCTGTGCGAGAAGGGGAAGCCTAGCATCACCACGAGGCGGCGGTTTGGTGGGGAGTGGTGTTCGGTGAGGGGCAAGAGGAAGGAAGGGAATAAAGAGGGGCAGACAATACCAAAACCGCGTTTTCACTCGGATCGACGAGTTACCGGCAAAGTTGCGTACATTCCCATTTATTACTCGAGTCATCAAACAACTACCTTTCTACGACCAAAAGTCATCAGACACTGGTTAGTGTCATGACGTTCGGCGACGCTGAGTTCCAGCATCTCCCATTACTCGAAATAAAAAATTCCAGCGCAACGGAGTGAGTGAAACGGCTACCGTTGGAGTGGAACAGTCCATCACTATCGATTATATATTTTTTTAACAACAAAACAAGTAGTTGTTGCGCTGGACGGAATTATTTGTAGAACAATTTCACGGTCATGAGCATGATGAGGAAGTGAATCATGTGTGGGCATAAAAGGTGAGCAGATCTGTTGGGGGAACGAGAATGGAAATAGTAATTAAAATAACAGGAGAAGAGAAAATAGGATTTTTCAGTGGGAATGTGCACAGTTGGAAAATTTAATGTTGAAGACCATTTTTTGGGAGTTGGGAAAAAATTGTTTTAGTATTTCTGGGTGAAATCAGGCTTTAGTGGGGTATCTGTATCATTATACAATTGATTATTTAAATTTTTGAGTAGAAACTCCTGTTTTTCCCTCTGGAATGAAATATTTTGTTTTTAAATGTTAAAATTTCGTCTCAGAATCATTTAACGTCGAAACAAATACGGAATAATTCACATTTTTATTCAATGCAAATTGCCAATGAAGTTAATAAAACAATACTCCTCATTTTGGAGTACAAATGTTCGAATTACAAAAGAAATTAATGCATTCATTTCAATCAAGAATGAATTTAAGTGAACATGTTGAAAAATCTTTTTGTTGAAAACAAAATTCTCTTGATATTTCCCTAAAATCAGGGATTAACGAGGCATCTGCATAATTGTACAATCGATAATTAAAATTTTTGAGTAGAAATTCCTGTTTTCTCTCTGGAATGAGTGATTTTAAAGCGAAATTTCAAAAACTGTTTTTAAATGTTAAAATTTCGTCTCAAAATCATTCAACATTGAGACAAATACAAAATAATTCACATTTTTATTCAAAACAAAACCAATACTAATACCACTCATTACCAATATTAAATTCCACCAATAATCAATAAAAATAAATCGCATGAATAATTAACTAGCGAACGTCGTAATTTTCGAAATTAAAAAAATTTTAAAAAAACAATTTTTCAATGTCTCCGGAAAGTTTTTAAATCGGCATATTTTCGAATAATAGAAGAATACCCATAAATTCGATTTCTCCCCTAGTCTCTCGATAGAATGACTAGAATAAAACCAGGAATTGCCAATTGAAGGCTAAAGATTTTGCTCGATCATAATTATTTAATGATTATCCACGAAGCTGAACCTCTCAGAAAATTCCTCAGCGGAAAATTCAATTTTAGGAGAGTCAACTAACCAAACGTACAAATGTCCTTCAAGTGCGAAAGAGTTAGTACACAACTCAAAACCATTTCTCGACCCCTAGCTTCGCCCAAGACAAATCTTCTGCTGCCGAGCCTCTCGTTAGTTCCAGCTTCACTAATTACCTCCCACCAAAATCTCAATAGTCCACCCCCCGACGCCGAATTCCCCCCAAAAAATTCGTTCACCATTTCGTCCCAAAACGCCCCATCATCAAAGAATTTCCCCCAAACCCCTTCCTAAAACTGATTAATCTCCACAGAGAAATGCTTCCCCTCCTCCTGTTGCTCTCCACAACATCTCTCGTCCACTCAAACACCGGAGTGGACCCCCAGGAGCCCTCACCCGGCTCCATAAACATCGCAAAATGCTGCGAACTGAACGAAATTCTCGTGGACTCGGTGTGCACACCGATCGATAAAACTAATGAATCGAGTCCGTGGAAGCCCGAGTTCGTTGACGACCAATTTCCCACGATAATAAGGAAGAAGCCCGTCAACTATCAGCTGAGAATAGGCTCGCCAGTCTGCAGCAAGGACGAGACCCAGTGGCAGGTCTACTACGGAACTGAGGACAAACTCGTCATCCTGACGTCTGGAAAATTGCGCCACGTGACGCACCACAACTGGTTGGGGAGAAAAGTCAAGACATTTGACGAGTACATGCAGAGCTACGAGGAGGACGAGAGCACTGGCGAGCCCCTCCACCAGGACTACGCGTTTGGCCATTATTGCGCGGAGAAGGCTGTCCTGACAGGCGACAGAAAAGTCACGACTTACGCCATCATCTGCGTTCCCAACGTCAAATTTCCGTGGAGAGAGACGAGCTACCTAGTGAGAAACATGATAGATCCCATCACGAGAGCATCTGCTATCGCCAGTTACCTAGTGGTTGCTGTCGTTTATTTTGTACTGCCACAGCTGAGGGATTTGGTGGGGAATATGATAAGCAGCATGAGCTTGTGCCTCGTTGTCAATCAAATTGCTGCGACTGTTGGCATCTTTACGCAGCATGCTAGTCATATCAGCTTCCTTGTGGCTGGTAAGTTGAGATTAATTTTGGGGGGAATTGGGAGGGACTTTAGTCTCATTTCGTCGAAAATCATCAAGAATAACTCATGCCAATCGGTTTTATGGGAATATCTTTGGATCTGAGGGAGATAGAGAAATTTTTGTAGAGACGTTTTTTGTAGCCCTCGATTTGTTCTATAAAAAAGGTCATGAGAGAAATTTTGCTATCTGCCGCGGATTGCGAGATATTCGTTGAATATTGGTTAGGGGTCAATAGCGATTTGGTGTTTGAACTTGAATAGTTTGTCAACTTTATTTTCGTCACTCCATTGGTCTGTCATTTCGATCGATGGTGGCAGAAGGATAAATGCGACTTCAAGGAGAATTATTTTTAATATAAGTCGACCAAAGACAAAGAGAAGTTGAAAGTTGAAGATTTTTGATTGAAGTTATCTCTGAAAATCAGGGGTAACTGGAAGTTTCACGTCAATTGTTCCACGAAAATTACTGAATATTCTTTTTTTAAATTCAAATTATTTAAAATTTGGAGTTTTATTGAGTTTTTAGTGAAACTTCATAATTTTGTTTCCCCTCAATCGAATTTAATGTTAATTTAACCTTTCTAACAGTGCACAGAGTAGAAAACTAAAAGCTGTGTTGCTTTATGCTGAAATTTCAATATGAAACCTCACACCCCTCGGAAATCCTCATCAGATTACAATTCCACTGAAATTTCAAGGAATGTCGTCATGGAAAATTCTACAGCTGTAGCTAAAGAATTTAGAATCTCGTTAAATTTTCTTCTGAAGATTTTTATTGAAGAATAAATCAGTGAATCTGTGGTCTCTGAAAATCAGTGGAGATCTGTGGGATCTGTGATCTCTGAAAATCAATGGTTATTGTAAATTTCACATCAATTATTCCCCGAAAATTACTGAATATCCCTTTTTTAATTCAAGTTAATTCAAGTTAATTTAAAATTTGGAACTTTATAGAGTTATTTGTGAAATTCCATAATTTTGGTTCCCCTCAATCAAATTCAATGTTAATTCAATGATTAATCACGACATTCCCATTATTTAGCAGCAGTGTAAATAACACTGATGAAATGATTTCCATAAAAAAATGATTTATTAAAAAATTCCCAGATGAATTCCCCAATTTCACCCTCGACTAAACAATATTCCTCATTATTTCCAGATACCGTGGCCTACGTATCCCTCCTCGCGGCGTTTTTCTGGCTCAACGCCCTTGGTTATTTCGTCTGGAACACTTTCCGCTCTCGCAACGTATTTCTACGAGTAACAGACCGACGAAAATACTGTTACTACTCATTTTACGTGTGGGGATCGACTCTAACAATAGCAGCGACAGCCCTATTCGCGCATTTTGCATTGGACGATCAGGGAACCCCAGTGGCCAACCTAGAGCACGCGAATGAGCCCCAGGAAACAGTTGGGGTGCTGGCAATGTCAGTTCTATTCACCTCAGTGGCCTTCACCATAATCGTTGACCTGTGCTTTGTGCTGAACACAGCGAATACGATAAAGAGAATGTGCACTTATGGGAGAATTCACCACAAAATGAAGTACAGCTTCAGATTGTTCACACTTATGTACGTGGTTATGAGCATTGGATGGCTCTCGGTTCTGATGTCACAGATTAGATACGACGAGATATATTATGCCCATATATTTTTCAATATCATTCAAGCACTGTCGATCCTGTATATCTGCGTTTTTGGACAGAAAAGAGTGACATTTTTGCTGAGTAAAACGTGCAACTGCTGCACTAGCAGTCATCACACGCCTGATGGACTCGACTGGGGGGAGGAGATGACAGCTATCAATGCTGGGTATTGAATTGCTGAGTTAATCATTCACTGAGAGAAAATAATGAGGGGAAAAAATTCTCAATGGAGTCTTGTTTCAACCGAAAAAACACATTGATAATTATCAGGACGGAAATTATTTCATTTGAATGTGCAGCAGGTTTGAACATCAGTGACGAAATATTGTGCCATTTCAGGGTGAGAGTGTCGCTCATAAAGTGAAGCACAATTGAGAATATTTTAAAACAAATAGAATACTTTTTTAGCAGAATAAACCCAGTGGTTTGAATGCTATAAATTTTAAAAAATAATAAAGCACGAGACGTTTTATTCCTGAGAATATTCAATGTTCAAGTCTTGTTTAATCAAATAAAATTATTTGATTAAATAAGACTTGTGGGTGATAGCAACAGATTTAACATCTGATTTTATAATTTCACATTTACACAGGATTGTGTGCAATTTACGGTGATCGTTCTCTCTCATTGTGCCATTTCTGCACATCTTTCCGAAATTTGATATTTCATTATTCACACACGAGGGATATTGTGTATTTTTTTAATTCTCGATGTTTGAGAGACTGTGGCCTTAGGGAGACGTGACTTACTCGTAGCTTTTAATAGGTTAATGTAATCTACTCACATGACACGAGAGAAAGACGAGCGAATTATTTTTTAATATTGTATTTATAGGTGTAAGAGATTTTAATAGATAGCACAATTTTTGTATGAGAGCAATAAACTCTGAATGACTCGATAAAACGCGAAAAAGAGTTCAACTTATTCTCATTTTCTACTTTAGAAATAAATAATGAAGAAGAACGATTTTTTTTCCAATGTTTGTTGTTAAGAAGAATTAATAATTGATTGAAATTATTCATTATTGTGAATTATATCTCTATCAGCTGATATAATTCCATACTCCATAAATATCTGAGTTATAATAATTTAAAACCATGAAGTTTGAAATTAATTCAAGTCTAGCCTTGAAAGAGCTAAAAAACCCCTGAGAAAACTAAAAGATGATTCTAAAAAAAAATGAGTCAAGACTATGAAAAATAATTGAAAATGCTCAAGTTCAATGAACGAAAAATATTAAAAATAATTTCCAAACAATTATCACACGAAAAAAAAAGATGACGCTCACCTGTCCGAAGAGTCCCCCCTCCTGCCTCTTCAGCAGATTGGACAATTGGCATCGAACGACGAGATGGCAATCGTCCATGACAGTATTGAAGAACCTCCTGGTAGGCAGCAGAGCCTCGAGGTCGATCACCAGCTCCAGAAACCTCTCGCAGTACCTGACCTTGTCAGGATTGAGGTGCCCCTCCTCCTGCACAGTCTCCAGAATCCTCATGAATTTAATCATCAACTTGTGCAGGAACTTCCTCTCCCACTCGAGTTTCTCCTTGGCCTCGGGCTTGTCGCGTTTCTGAATGATCCTCCACTGTTTCCTCCACTTCGGATGCTTCCTGAACTCCAATTCCCTGCGCCCCTGCTGGAGGGAGACCCACATGGACAGGGAGACGAGCCTCTTCACCTCCTCTCGAACCAGAATCACCTCCATCGAGTTGAAGCAGTGGTTCAGGAAGACGATCAGTGCTGTTTGCTCCTTGAGATCGAAGTCGAGGATGCTGTCCTCAAGGCACGTCTCGAGGACCTTCTGGAAGAATCCAGAGAAGTGTGTGGAGTTCCTCTCGAAGGCCTCCCACACCTGCACGCGCTCTCGGAATTTCTCGTTCACCATCACCACGATGGACAGCGTGTGGGCACGAGTGGCAGTCTTTCCGTCGTAGTTCGGCCACAGGAAGTTCTCGAGGTATTGACTGAACTCCAGCATCATTATTCGACGGATCGAGAACTTCGAGGCACATATCTCTTGGATGTAGATCTCTTCCACGATCTTTGGGTCGAAGGGGAGGTGGGAGTCGGTTGTGTGGGGCGCCCAGTATTTATTTGCCAACTGGAATTTAATGGGGAAGGGATTTGCTTGTGAATGGAAGCCTTATAATCGTTCAAATTCAAGCTTTGGATTTTTTGGGTTATGTCGACCCATTTTTATTTCTAATGGATCCGGGGAATTAAATAGGGGAGGTTGGGGTAAGACGGACACTTTTGACTTTTTTTAAAATGTTAATGAGGGGTTGAAATGTTGGCAAAATTTGATAATTTTTTTTTTAATACAAAGTACAATTACTTTCCTTTGAGGTGAGCCTAAACTGAGCTCAATTGATAAATTTGTTTCCGAGTTATGAATAATTTTGAAAAAGTCTAGTGTCCATTTTACCCCACCCTTCCCTAATTCCTTTTTTTGAAATGTAGGTGCTGTTGAGACTGAGCTGTTTAAATTGAAAATTTGGAAAAATGTTGTATTTTTTAAAAATCAGATTTCCAGGGATATCTTTGAGTATCATGCTTCAGTCAACTGCCCACGTTTTTCCGGATATCTCCAAAACTTTAAGGTCCACAGCAAAACGTCAAAAGAACTTTAGTGAAGACCACAAAATTCTCCACAAAAAATGTCTTTTGACATTCCCCTCTGAACCCTCTAATTGCCGAGATAATTCCGCAGTAAATGATTCCCTTGCTCCCCACTCCATAAAAATAATTTCCTCACCTGAGTGATTCTGTCAGCATTGATCTGCTCCACCGTGGGCGCAGGGTTATTGGACTTCCCCGTAGCTCCGTGGGTCTCCATAATTCCGGAATAATCACAAACAATCACCAATTATCGTCTCAACAAAACACTGTTCACTTAACCTACAAAATCCTCATCCCAACGTTTGCGTTTCCCCCTGACATCCCCCGGAAATCTCCGAAAATCTCCACTGAATTATCAAAACTCTAATGTTCACTCTTTCCCGACGACAATTCCCTCTTCCGAAGTATTTTATTTCACTCGTTAAACTAAAATATTCGTAAACAAACGCGGACGACTGAGGGGTTAACACTCAGGCGTTTGTTGACTCACCGGTACCGACATTCGATACATCGATTATCGAAATGTCGATTTTCTTCGGGTCGATAGGTCCAAGGAATTAATATTCCACCGCATTACGCACATTTAATTAACGAAATTTAACTGCAAGAATTTTTTTTTCACAAAATGATTTTTCACAAAATTTCCAGATTGAATCGATTTAAGGGACGGGCGATGTTTGTCGATTAATCGACAACATCGATGGTTTTCATTGGATGTACTCAACGACCGATTAATCGATTTTCTATTATTTTTATCAAACATTGATGTTTTTGATTTAATTTTTCTATCGAAAAATAATATTGATTGATTGAGAATAAAAAAGGAATAATTTATCCGCAATCAGAAGAAAATATTTTCTGCAGTATGTGCGCTATAAATGATAACTGATAACTTTTTGATCACTCGTGATAACTTTTTTTAATTTTTAATTTTTTTCAAAATGTTAAAAAATTTTAAAATAAAAAAAAATTTCTTGTGCAATGAGAAAAACGTCGATTTTCTTAATAATCGATGTTTTTCCCGATAAATTGCTTCACAACATCGACGTTTGTCAAAACATCGCCCATCCCCACTCGATTTATCACGTTTCCCCCCGTCGATACCTCGCCCCTTTCCCCTCGACATCTTGAAATATCGAAGATCGCACACCGGTTTGTGTATCGTGTCGTCACCGCTCCAAACAGCCCCCGACGACAAAAAACCAAAAAATCCCTCGAAAAAGACTCGTAAGTAAAAAACTTTAATTACCAAAAATGCCCACCTCCCGCTCAGATCCATAAAAATGAGTGAGTCGCCTGTGAAGAGGGCCAGAGTAGATGTCAATGAGGATTTACCTCTGGACCTCAGCATGAAGCGAAGGCCGACAGGAGCAGATCCTCAAGAGCCCCAGAATCCCCCGAATTACCCTCCCGAGAATTCCTCGTTAATTCCAGAGCCGATTCCCCCGGACATTCCCACCCGCATGCTGTCCCTCGAGTACTCCCTGACGAAAACCCTCCAAGGGGTTCTGTTTCGAGCCCCAGTGGAGTACCTCTACAGTCCAATTGAATACGCCTTCTCAGTGCACTTGAATTATCTGAAAAAATTCTGTAACAATGAGAAGAAAATCCTGTTCCTGGGGATGAACCCGGGCCCCTGGGGCATGTCCCAGACTGGGGTGCCCTTCGGTGAGGTGAACACAGTGGTGAATTGGCTGGGACTCAGTGGTAATGTTGACAGACCTCCCAGGGAACAGCCTGACAGGAGAGTCCAGGGATTATTGTGCAAACGAAGTGATGTAAGTGGTAAACGTTTCTGGGAGTTGTTCAAAAGGCTGTGTTGCACTCCAGAGGTTTTTTTTCGTCACTCATTCCTCAGGAACTACTGCCCAGTGGCACTCATGGACGCTGGAGGACGGAATATCACGCCTGCTGAGCTGAAGGCAACATCTGTTTTGGAATTATCTAGTGTGGACCGAGGCGAGGGGATTTTTTCATTGATTTCTCTTGGGGTTTTGCAGAGGCCTGAGCAGACCAGGGTCGTCCAGCTGTGCGACTGGTTTCTCGGGGAGAGTGTCAAGGCTCTGAGGGCCGAGGTCATCGTTGGGGTTGGGAGGTTCGCGGAGAAGAGGGCCAGGCACGTTGTTAAGACTTTCGGGTTGTCCACACAAGTGAGAATCCAGATTTCATTGCTTTCTTTCTTCGGGGGTTTGGGGGAGAATGGGGAACAGACGGGAGGACAGGACTTTTTTTAAATTTTTTTTTACAGGAATTTTTAGAACATATTCTGTAGTAATTGCTTTGTAGAAGATTTTCGCAATTTTTTATGAGTTGAGTTTTAGGATTAAAAAATGAGTTGAGTTTTAGGGGTAAAAATGGAATTCGTAACCTAAAGCTTGAGAATATTAAACGAAGTGGTTGAAAATCTTGAGAAATACCCCAAAAATTTAGAATAAAATATAATCTATGAAAAAAAAAATAATAGGATGAAATAAAAAATAAAATCTATAATAAAATAAATCCTAGAGGACATGAATTTTCATAAAATAGTCTTCCATAAAAACTCCTTGATAGATTTTCTTAATTTTCTCCATGAATTTTAATAATTAAAAAATGAAATTCGAGATATAAAATGAAAAAAAAGGACAAAACGATTGAAATCGTTGACACGAAGAATCACCAGAAATAATCATAACCATTTTTCCTAAACTGACATTCTCCCCTAACCCTCCCTCCCCCAAACTTTCCAAGACAACATACACCAACCCTCATCCCCCTTCCCCCCAGGAATTAACTCCCCAAAAATTAAAAATCTGAAGCAAGCCCCCCCCAAAAAAAAATCCCAAGAATTTTATTTCACCCCAAAACCGCCTAGAATGTCCCTTTAAAAATCGGCAGGATTAATCCCCCAATTCTTCTCTCACCCTCTCCCCTATTTCCCCAGGTCTTCTGGATGCCCCACCCCAGTCCCCGTTCCACCGGCACCCAGGACTGGAGTACAAAAGCCCAGGAGATCCTCCAGGACCTGAACCTCCTGAAATTCTTCAGCAATGAAGCAAACCCCCCTGCAGCACTCGTCATCCCTCCAAATAGCGAGCGAGGAGACCCTCAAATGGATGGACGTGGCCCTCTCCAAGGCTGAGGACTCCTTGAGAGCTGGCGAAGTCCCCGTGGGCTGTCTCTTCGTCTACGAGGGGGAAATCATAGCCACTGGGAACAACAGAGTCAACGAAACGCGAAATGCCACTCGTCACGCCGAGATCAATTGCATCGACGATGTTCTGGAGTTCTGCAAGGCGAGGGGTCTCGACTACAAGGACGTCTTCAGTCGTCTCGACGTCATCGTCACGGTGGAGCCCTGCGTCATGTGCGCAGCTGCCCTCCAGGAGCTCAAAGTGCGGAGCATTGTCTACGGATGCAATAACGATCGCTTCGGGGGATGTGGAAGTGTCTTCGAAGTGTCCAGTGTGTACGAGGATGGGGTCAGGGTGACTGGGGGCGTCAAGGCCGAGGAGGCCATGAGACTGCTCAAGGAGTTCTACAAGGGCACTAATCCTAATGTTCCTGTCGAGAAGATGGGGAAGGGGAGGAAGAAGAAGGGGAGGAGGGCCAGTGGCAAGGACGATCTGCAATGATTTTTTTATATTGACTGTATCTAATATATTATACTTCAAATCATGGGAAACTTGGGGGATTAGGGGGGAGTACTGTAAGGATACTTTTGTATTTGATAAATATTTATAGATTCATATTTTTTTGTTGGATTTACTTGCACCAGATCCGTATTAAAAACGGTGAATGATTGGGTGATTCTTTTTACGATTGAGTGGATGATGAGAGGTGATGAGGGGAGACTCAGGAAACGAGAATTTCTTTCTTTGAAATTGGACGAAATATTGATTAATGGGAAAAGGACGGTGTGCAACGATTTTTTTATAAGGAATTTCATCATTGTGAATAAAATATCCACTCTCAAACAATAAAAGTCCATGATACCGCAGATAACAATGAGAGGAAAAAGAAAGGAGGGGCGGAAGGCTAGAGGAGGGGGTTCAAATCGAGAATTACTTCGATAAAATCAATGAAATAGAAAAATAAAAATTCTTTAAATTAAAAAAAATTAATTGATCAGGGGAGGGAGCTACTTGAGAATACTTTTGTATTTGATAGATATTTATAGATTCATATTTTTTTGTTGGATTTACTTGCACCAGATCCGTATTAAAAACGGTGAATGATTGGGTGATTTTTTTTATGACTGAATTTCTTTCTTTGAAATTGGGCGAAATATTGATTAATGTGAAAAGGACGATGTGCAACGATTTTTTTATGTTGGCTTTATTTAAAATATACTTTGAATCATGGAAAACTTAATTGATTAGGGGAGGGAGTTTGTATTTGATAAATATTTATAGATTTTTTTTGCTGGTTTTACTTGCACCAGGAGACGTCCATCTCACATTTCCCCTGGTACCAGCGAACTAGGAGTTGGTTCTTGAGGCTGTAGTCTTTCAAGATCATGTCTTTTGTCTGAAAAAATTGAAGGATTAGGTAAATTTTTTGAAGATAGAGTGGAGTCTTAAGAGAATATGACAAAAAGCCCGGAAAGTATAATTTAAAAAAAAATTAAATTCGACAAAAAATCATTCAGTTGGGTCTCTCGCAGGAACTTACGATTGGCGGTGGAAATACTCGCTTGAAGTCCATCTTATTCTGATGCTCGGTGTAACATTGCGCAAATGTTGATCTCATCTCCTCGGTGAAACACTGTTTGCAGAGTTGACACTCAACTCTGAAGCAATCCGTGCAGGCGGTGCAGACTTCCGGGAGGACAACCAAATTTTTATCCGCCACTTCGAAACTTCGTTCTTCCCAAGTACTAAAAAATTTTTTAAAAAATCACGAAATCCCTTACTACCTTGAAATTTAGGAATTTTTCTTATTTTCTAAAATCTTCACAAATTCCTTAAACCGATTTAAAAAATCATCTTTTAATTTATCACATTCATTTATTATATTCCTTGAATATTCAAGACGCAATTTCATCGTCATTTTATAATTCAAATTGTTTGCAACCATTTCCACAAAAAATATATTCCCAAAATGAAAAAAAACGAAAAAAAAATCTAAATTTAATCATTTAAAATAAATAAAAAGCAATAATTCAATGAATTAATAATAAGAATAAATAAACTAATTGATGATTTAAATCTCGTAATCAAAAGCTGTCTGCACCTCCCAAAAAGCATTCACCTAGGTTTCCTGAAAGGAGTGTCCACCCTCTGTCCGACGCCGACCAGCGCAAAAAGATTGAACAGCACCTGTTCATAGAGCAGTCTATTCGGTGGAAAATGTGCTGAGGACAAGTTGGGGGACATGTTGGCCTCCATCAAGAAGACATTCATCTCCTCATCGATGATAAAATCGAAGCGAACGAGCTCGAAGAAGTTCCTCCTGGCAGGATAGTTCTTGACGACACTCGCCATGTCCTTCTCCTTCTTGACGAGTACATCCCTGATGGCCTCATCGACGTTATCCCACACAATGTTGGGATCCCTGCCAGTGGCCCTGACGTAGGCATCGAAGGTCTCCTTCATGGAGAACCCCAGATCCTCGTAGTACTTCCTCAAGGAGGGCACCTGCCAGATGGGAAGGTAATCGTCATCGACGACGTACTTCTTGGTGTCCTCTGGGTCGAAGGGATGGTACTCGTGGGGGCAGAACCGAAAGAGGACGTCTCCCTTGTACGTGTAGACCCTCAGAGGATCCACCGAGGTGACGACCGTGTAGACCCCCATGTCGAATTTGAAACCGTCGACGAGGTACGGCTTCTCCACGAACTCCTGGATGAACGTCTCCCCCTTGTCGAAGTCGAATTCCTCGAATTTTTTAATCCGAATCCCCCGATGGGCATTGGACTTCTGCACGAACCTCTTCTCCGGGTGTTTCTTCACGAAGTCGAGGAGGTCCTCCCGATCCTCTGGGACTCTGAACGCCGCCGGGAGGAACCTGCTCTCGGTGATCGACAGGTCAACTTTGTTCGTGAAGAAGCCGCAGGCCGGCAGGTGGTTCACCCTCTGGTGGGGCCTCACCTTCCTCAGCTGCGGGAAGGCCTGGAAGGGGTAGTCGTGCGCCCACAGCAGGTCCCAGTCGGACTCGTTTGTCCCTCGACGGTAGCCCAACTTCTCCAGGACGTTGATGACGTGCTTCAGGTGCGCATCGTCGCCCTTCTTCATGTACAACCAGTACAGCGGCTTGGACTCGTTTATCGCCAGGGAGATCTGCGTCTCGATCAGGGTGTCGTAGTAATGCAGCACCACCACTGCTATCACCGACAGCAGCACTGGCAGGAACATCACGTTGTAGATCGCCTTCGTCGTCGTTCTCAATTTTGATTCTTCGTCGTCGGTCATCGGCTCCGGGGGAGTGTCCTCGATTTTCTGGAATTTAATGGGGTGAACGAACTCTTCGGGGAGTTTAGGGGGAGCTTTTGGGGGGAATAAGGCTTTTTGGGGTGGAGGATTAACAATATTATTCAGAATTGCGTTCACTTTGATCGTTACACAGTAAAAGAATATCAGCCCTGCGGGCCAGCGCACGGCGGGGGCGGCTGGGTTCAAGATGAATTGAACAGACCGATCTTATATCATACAAGCAGACATTAAAACAATAAAATTCGTATTGATGATTTTGAATCGAAAGAATTCTTGTATTCTAGAGAGATCCTATTGACATTGAAGACTTCACAAGAGTTGATAAAAATTCTGGTGACTGAACGATGATGATAAACATGAGAGAACTGAAAATTCGGGAAGAATTATTTGAACGATTTTTTAAGACCCATCATGACAACACTATCGCTTTTAATTTTGATTCTTCGTCGTCGGTCATCGGCTCCGGGGGAGCGTCCTCGATTTTCTGGAATTTAATGGGGTGAACGAACTCTTCGGGGAGTTTAGGGAGAGCTTTTGGGGGGAATAAGGCTTTTTGGGGTGGAGGATTAACAATATTATTCAGAATTGCGTTCACTTTGATCGTTACACAGTAAAAGAATATCAGCCCTGCGGGCCAGCGCACGGCGGGGGCGGCTGGGTTCAAGATGAATTGAACAGACCGATCTTATATCATATAAGCAGACATAAAAACAATAAAATTCGGATTGATGATTTTGAATCGAAAGAATTCTTGTATTCTAGAGAGATCCCATTGACATTGAAGACTTCACAAGAGTTGATAAAAATTCTGGTGACTGAACGATGATGATAAACATGAGAGAACTGAAAATTCGGGAAGAATTATTTGAACGATTTTTTAAGACCCATCATGACAACACTATCGCTTTTAATTTTGATTCTTCGTCGTCGGTCATCGGCTCCGGGGGAGCGTCCTCGATTTTCTGGAATTTAATGGGGTGAACGAACTCTTCGGGGAGTTTAGGGAGAGCTTTTGGGGGGAATAAGGCTTTTTGGGGTGGAGGATTAACAATATTATTCAGAATTGCGTTCACTTTGATCGTTACACAGTAAAAGAATATCAGCCCTGCGGGCCAGCGCACGGCGGGGGCGGCTGGGTTCAAGATGAATTGAACAGACCGATCTTATATCATACAAGCAGACATAAAAACAATAAAATTCGTATTGATGATTTTGAATCGAAAGAATTCTTGTATTCTAGAGAGATCCCATTGACATTGAAGACTTCACAAGAGTTGATAAAAATTCTGGTGACTGAACGATGATGATAAACATGAGAGAACTGAAAATTCGGGAAGAATTATTTGAACGATTTTTTAAGACCCATCATGACAACACTATCGCTTTTAATTTTGATTCTTCGTCGTCGGTCATCGGCTCCGGGGGAGCGTCCTCGATTTTCTGGAATTTAATGGGGTGAACGAACTCTTCGGGGAGTTTAGGGAGAGCTTTTGGGGGGAATAAGGCTTTTTGGGGTGGAGGATTAACAATATTATTCAGAATTGCGTTCACTTTGATCGTTACACAGTAAAAGAATATCAGCCCTGCGGGCCAGCGCACGGCGGGGGCGGCTGGGTTCAAGATGAATTGAACAGACCGATCTTATATCATATAAGCAGACATAAAAACAATAAAATTCGGATTGATGATTTTGAATCGAAAGAATTCTTGTATTCTAGAGAGATCCCATTGACATTGAAGACTTCACATGAGTTGATAAAAATTCTGGTGACTGAACGATGATGATAAACATGAGAGAACTGAAAATTCGGGAAGAATTATTTAAACGATTTTTTAAGACCCATCATGACAACACTATCGCTTTTAATTTTGATTCTTCGTCAGCGGTAATCGTTGCATATCATTCTAACGTGGCTTACACATTCCTCGGGGATTTAGCAAAATCATCTGCGCCTCGTCAGCAATTGTAGATATCGGAGAGAGGAATATATTCGAGAAATCGTCATAATACCCAATAAGTTTATTCAATGGATAAAAAATATGGAAAAATCCTATTGAAAGGAATTATTTGAAAATATCAAAAATTAAAAAATTTTCTCGTGTTTTTTTAAAAAACTTTAGGAATCCAAAAGTAAATTTTGCATTTTCCTGCGAAAAAATGCTTTTAAAATAATAAAGAATGGGTAGTTTTCCGTTCAGAAAATCATACGATAATTGCTTTCATGCGAATCATTAATGAATGAACGAAAAAATTGGAGAAATTCCGAAAATTAATGGGAACTACTGGAGAACAGTTATGAACCGTTAAATATTTCTCTCATCTTATTTAATTGAAAGGCGCGAGAAATGCGGGAAACTGGAGAAAAAGTAGAATATTTTCTTTACCTTTTCACTGGACATCTTTAGCACTTTGTTAACAACACGACTGATAATATTGATATTTATTGTTCACTGCATTATTACTGGTGCAAGGACGAAGACAATCGTGGTACTTTGCGCGTTATCGGTGACTTATACCTACCTGACAAATTTACCGTTGTCCGTCGGTGCTATCCCTACTCCAAATACACTCCACGTGTGTTACCGAACCGGTTTTTTATTCTGTTGTGTCGGGGAAATCGAGGGATGAGTTGCCAAAGTGGGATAATATGCCGTAACGATTTTCGGGTGGAATTATTGGGCTCCAGGAATTTTTGATTGATGTAGTATAGAGGAGGATGAGTTGATTCATCTCATTATGCGTATTTTATTCGCGGTTTATCTTGAGAAGAAGAGATTTTCAGGCAAAATGATGAAGTTTTTTTTTATAGAAAATTCTTTGACATTAAATTTCGATAAACACGAAAAAAATATTAACGGAAAAAGAATTCCATTCGATTTCTATAGAATTATAATAAAAATAATAATTATTATTACTATGACAGAATTATTTCTATAGAATAATTAATATTCTAGAGAAATAGTTAATAGAATTCGAATTTTCTACAAAAATTATTCTATCGAGATGTTCTATAGAATATTTTCCACTGAATATTTCCATTTTTTTAAAACGCAGATGAGTTGCGAAATTTGTCGACAGAATCGGCCATAAACTAACAAAAAATCAAATACATTAATTTGAATTTATTAATCAATTAGCGAACAATTTAGTCGTTAATTGTGAAGTTTGATCGTTTTAATTTCTCAATTTCATAATTAACTTGACGAAACGCATAATTGAATCGTCAAATCATTTATCAAATGTATCAAAAAGATTTTCTGCAAAACTTTTCCCAATTTTTTTTTTTCAAATCGTTTATTTAAAAAAACCCGTCAGCCACTTGTGACGTCACTCACCGCCTGTGCCTCCCTCTACTTCCTCTTCTCCTCCGTCCCTCCTTTCGTATTCAACGAGCGTGAAAACGACATGGGTTTCCAGAATATTTGGTACTCTCACCCGAGAAAATACGGCCAAGGATCGAGATCCTGGTGAGTTTGATCATTTAACAATTAAAAATCAATTTACCCCATTTTCTGGAGTTGAATATTTTCCCTGGGGGTCACTCCGGCGTGGATCGTCAGCCCCAACGTCATGACCGCGTGTGTTGCCTCCAAACCCTCGATTATTCCCCCTTCGCCCCACAATTAACAACAAAAACTAATTTATTTCGATGAAAAATCAAATTTTAATGATGAGTCGATGAAAATCGTGAGAATGAAATGATCTCGCAGTTCATGAATGTTCAGGGGAGTGACATAACCTCGAAATGGGAGAGGATCATCCACAATTGAGAATTCAATGACAAGAAATAATGAATCACGCGAAAAATGACTTTTTACTTTTTTTAAAATGTTGATAACATTAAATTGCTAATGAAGTGAATTTTTTTTTCTTTGGAAAGAATAATTCGTCACTTTCGGGTGGCCTAGACAGATCTTAATGAGTGAACTTGTCTCTGAGTTATGAAAGTTCAATGAAAAATGAAAATATTCAATTTTCCACAGCTAATGCAAGTGATTAAAAAGGAGAGAAAAAATTCAATTCTTTTTGTTTCTGAATTTTTCAGCCGTGCGTGTGCCAACAAACACGGTCTCATCCGCAAATATGGCCTCAACATCTGCCGTCAGTGCTTCAGGGAATATGCAGCTGACATTGGGTTCAAGAAGGTAATCAATTTGAAATGTTTAATGATTCAGTAGTTCAGTCGTTAAGAAATAAGACATTCTTTAAATGTCAGAAGGCCTTTTTGTGGAGAATTTCATTAATTGCAGGAGTAGTTTGGCATTCTTTCCTGAACGTTTAAGACATCTACAAATTTTAGGAGATAAAGACAAATAATTATGTTGCAAATACCTTCCAGAAAATATGAAAATGATTTTTTTGCAGAGAATTTAATGAAGGAGGGCTCTTTTTTTATGATTGCATGGAGAAAAATTAACGCGATTGGCATTTCAGATTATTTTGCAAATATATCTGGGAATAGTAGCCTTTAGGTATTTTTGGGTGAAGCTCGTAGTTTCAGAAATATCTGCGAAATAATGAATGTTAAATTGCAGATGAGGACAATTGGGATTCAAAATTATTTCAAATTATCTGAAAATGAGTAGAGAATTTAATCTGGCATAATAAATTTTAGGAGATCAAAACAAACAGAATTTGAGACGATTTTGCTTCATCACAAATTATCGAAAGACTTTTTTTTAAAAAGGTTAATTTTCTTATTGAAATCAGATCTTTTGATATTTGAAAGTTGCAAGATTTCAGGATTAAATTTCCCCCAAAATAAAAAATCTCATTTTTTGATAACTCCACAATTCTAAAAAATTTACCCAATACTCTGACATGTATTTATCATCACAATAGACCTCAATCATCTAAAAAAATAATTGTAAAACCCCCTGAGCCCTCACAGCAACAATCAATCCATAATCACCCCAAAAATTAATCTCCAATTAATTCGCTCACTCACCCCAAAAAATCGACAAAAATCCAGAGAAAAAAAATCACTCAATTTTTTTTATTCTTCTTTTCCAGTTGGACTGAATAAATATTTTCACCAAGAATAAAAAAAATATTTAAATGCAGCCTGGTTCGCGCTATAGACAGATTCGTACAAGAAATTTACAAATGAATTCAACGGTGAATTATAAACAACAATAATCAAATTTTTGTAACGAACATGTCTAATCTGTGTATGGCAAGACATCAGTAAAAAAAACACAAAAAACCACGAAATGAGTATTTTATTTATGAAGAAAATCAGCATGAGGGAGATAATCAGAGCGAGAAGGATAGATAAAAATTAATTAGCATGAAAAAATAACTCCTTGATATCTGGTACCAATTGTCTTCTCACTCCCCTCCCCCTGTTTTCCGTCCCTATTCAACTGTTGCATCGTCAGAAGTGTGTGATAAGCACCAGGAAGCCTGACCTGCTCACTATCACCTTGTTTTTTTTTTATATTATCTAATAACAAAAACATTATCTCGTTTTTTTCTCCTTCGATTTTTCTTATTCCCCTCCCCCCTCGCCCCTCCTGCCTCTATTTGTCAATCAATGCACTTGGCGATTGGACTATACTGTTGTCTATGTGCAGCTGTAACCGCGAAAGTTGTTCCCAGTCGTGGTTCGAGGTCAAGAGAGTGGGACTCATTGAATTAGGTGGAATAAAAAATCCTAAATTGTTACATTGGGGTAGAAAACTTTCTCATTACCTCGGCCATCAAAACTGAGTGAAGAAAGACATGTAGTTATTGCATGGAAAATGTGAATATTGGAGAATGGAAAAATCGAAATTATCTCATAATTATAAAAATTGAACTACGATTTTTTTTACGAACCCTGGAAGATGACAGTATTGCGATATTTGCGAGGAAAATTTAGTCACGAAAATTGCGTCGTGAATTCTCAGCGAAGAGTGGATAAAAAAATCTGAGAGATGGCTCAAACAATTTGTTCATTTTTTAAAAACCAGATGGAGTGACTTGAGGATGACCTGAAGACGATAAATAATTTAAAGAAATGTTTAAAAGTACGAGTTGGGGACGCCGCCATATTAAACCCCGCTTCCGGCGGAGGGGGGGTATGGGGTATCCACGCAAGATGGCGGCGCACCTGGTCGTCCACCTCGCACGTTTGAACACTTCTTACAATTATTTATCCTTCTCAGATCACTTTAAATTCGCCTCCTCCAATTCCTACCAAAAGAACAATTTTTTCAAGTCATCTTTCAGATTTCTTCACCGCCTTTTGGCTGAGAACTCGCGGAACACAATTTTCAAATATAATTTCTCATATAATTCATGTCGTCAATCCCCCAGATATAAAGAAAAAAAATTGAAAACCACTCGAATAATGAAGCTCTCATCGATAAAACAATGATTCCCCTCATTCCCTAAAATCCCCCCCCCCAAGTAAATGCAACCCCTTCCTCCCCCAAATTACCTAAAGAAAACAATTTAATCAGCCGCGAGCATTCATCAATGATTACCAGAACCGCGAAAACATTCTAAAAATACCTCATCATTCCCCTCCCCTCGTGAAACCTATAAAAAAAATAATGAGGGAATCGTCATGACTTTCGATGCGGTCACTATTGCCTACACATATGTATCAGCCATTGCCATATACACGAGCGGTTGGATACGTGCCACTGCACATGGCCCCCTCCCTCCTCAGCATTAAACTTGCTTTGGTATCTCACCCGCCAAAAAAAGATAAATGCCGTATAAAACCGAGATGAGAAATATTATTTCGCTTTATCGAGGAGAATTCGAGTTTTAGGTGCAATCCATGTAAAGATGTCTTCGTGCGTTGTAAAAAAAAAAAAGAAAAGATCTACAGTTCGAGCCGGAGTTTAAGGCGAATGAGGAGAGCGCAGTTTTGAAGTGACCGAGGGGGGTAGGAGAACAAAGGGCAGGGGGGAGGGGTAACGGCCGTCGGAAGGGGGGGGCAAGGGGGAGAAAGAAAAGATTAGGATGGCTTTGGAGGGGAGGGTAGAAAAGCGACAACCGACTGTGTTTGTACGGCTGGCCGAATTGTACAGGCCTCTGAGCTTCCTCGAATGGTTTCAGGCCTCCTTGTTGCGTTCTAAATTTTCCAGATGTATTTTCCCTCATCCCAACGTTTTTCGTCTCGAAATACTTCGACACAAAAGGCAGTTGGATTGAAGGAGCTTCTCTGATTTTTATCAGCGGCGATAGCCAGTGCTGAGTGTGAGGCCGCCTGATGATACTGTTGTATCCAGCGATAAATGCAGACGGCACAGGTTAATAAAATGGTTGGGGCGGTTTATTAATTACACAACAGAGTAAATACGATGTGTGCCAAGAGCTCCTAAGAGAATTCGTCAAATATCTGTGTTACCCAGAAGACAGTCGTTGCCATTGGGGTTTCTTGATATCCTCGGGATCTAAGCAATTGAATTAGAATTCGGAGGGGGATAGGCAACACTACGTTTAATAAATTGGGGCGAAAAGGGCAATGATAAAATGATAAAAGAATAACGAGAAAGAGACGAATTTT